GAGGGTAGAACAAGAAGCAATGGGTGGAAACTTATCAAGGAGAGAAGCAACTTAGAAGCAAGGAGAAATTTTCTGACAGAATAATTAATTAGAGGAATGGTTTGCCTCCAGAAGTTGTGAATGTTTTTAAGAAGATGTTGGATATCAATTTTTCTGAAGTGGTGTAGGGTTTCCTGCCTAAGCAGGGGGTTGGGCTTGAAGACCTCCAAGATCCCTTCTGCTATTCTATTCTATTCTATTCTATTCTATTCTATTCTACTCTACTCTACACCTTATTCTATTCTATTCTTTTTTCTATTCTATTCTATTCCATTCCCTATTGTATTCTATTCTATTCCTTATTCTATTCTATTCCTTATTCTATTCTATTCCATTCCCTATTCTATTCCATTCCCTATTCTATTCCATTCCCTATTCTATTCTATTCCTTATTCTATTCCATTCCATTCCCTATTCTATTCCTTATTCTATCCTATTCATTCCATTCCCTATTCTATTCCTTATTCTATTCTATTCCATTCCCTATTCTATTCTATTCCTTATTCTATTCCTTATTCTATTCCATTCTACTCTACTCTACTCTACTCTATAACTTATTCTATTCTATTCCATTCCATTCCCTATTCTATTCTATTCTATTCTATTCCTTGTTCTATTCTTGATGAAGAGACATTGCCTCTTAAATCATCATGTCCTAATAAGCCAGTGCTTGAAACATATTGCTTTTATCCCCCTCCTTTCACTGAAAACCTTTGCCATGCCCATTCCTTTGTGCCAGCGTGGTGCCACCCCTTCCCCTTTCACTTTGTTAAAGAAGAGAGCAAAGCCGTGATGTTGAGGTTGGAGGCATATTTTCTGCTCTCCTCTTGAAAGCGTACAAGATTTTCCCCAAAAGAAATTCTTCACGGTCAAAATGAATTTGGTCTGGGTAGGCTCAAAGCGATTGTCGAAAGCTTAACTCCTGCTCTAAAAAGCAATCAGCTCTGCGTGACTTCGCATCTCCCATGGTCGCCAGATGCTGGGCAGAGCAGAAGAAGGATGGTGAGAAACTCCCAAGGTTGGTCTGGCCTTAAGTCATCCCTCGTAAGGGGGGGAATTCTCACCCAAACAGAAGTTCAGTTCCCCCACAGGTTCCTCCTAACATGGCACCCTTTTTTTCCTTTTCCCGACCGGCGACAGGGAGCCACAGCAGAGGGATGAAACAGCCACATGCGGCCCCAGAGCCGTGAGTTGCCAACCCTACATGGAGGCTGCGTTGAAATGGACTTAGAGCAGGTGAAAAAAACGTTGTCTAGGGAGTCCCCCCATGATATTCTGCCTTTAACAACCTCCCCTTTCTCTCTGCCCTCTATAGGTGGTCAGCCAGATTGACAAGCTGACCGCAGACTTCGAGTTTGAGCTGGAGCCCGACGATTGGACGACCACCACGGTGAGCAGCACCTCCAGCAGCGAGAAAGGTGGAGGCCTATTTGACCTTGGGCACCTGGATTTCATGACCTCAGACATCCTTTCTGACAGCTGGGAATTCTGCTCCTTCCTCGAGGCCTCCACCCCTTCCGATTCGGGAGATGGTTCGGAGCAGCAACAGTCACAACCCCAACAGCCGCCGGGGCATCAACCCGATTACCAGCTGATGAACGGCGGCGTGTTGCTCTACAACGGACCCCGGATTGAAACCCCAGACTCTTCCAGCGAGGAAGCGTTCAGCTCCATACCAAGTCACAAACCTCACCATCAGAGGACGCCGGGCACCAGGGAGCGGGTGCGTTTTAGTGACAAAGTCCTCTACCATGCTTTGTGCTGCGATGATGACGATGAGGAGGCGGACAGCGGGCCCCTTCCGGACGACCCTCCGGAAGAGCCCAACGAGGCAACTCCGAAGGGGGCGTTAGTGGCCAAGACGGCAATGCGCCGGTCCCCTCACCTTGGTAGCGGCCAACTGCGGAAGGTGACACGCAATAGCAGCACTCAAACAGTGTCGGACAAAAGTACTCAGACTATTCTCCCTTATATTTCGAACAAGCAGAAAATCAATCAGAAGAACTGAGGACCAGCAGAGGGAAGGGTGGGCTGGGCGGAAGGAGGAGGAGGAGGAGAAGGAGAAGCCGCAGCGAGAGAGATCTATAAACCGATAGATAGATAGGTAAATTTCTCTCTATATTTAAGTCAATAAATAATCATGATATGATGAAAAAAAAATGGAAACGGGGTATCATCTGACTACCTAACCGTCATGTCAATGACTCAGGGAATTTAAACGGCTTTGTTTGTTGAATGTCGTGTTTCTCCCAGTTCATGCATTGCCGATTTACACAGAAAAGGAAACACACCTTACGCCATCTCACGTCGCAAAGCAGAGTGGGGATCTATTGAAGATGAGGAAGGTTTTTCAGAATAAGCATGTTTTGACAAACTAGCTTTCCACCACCACCCCCTTCCTGCTCCGCTGGTTAATGGTTGTGTGATATTGACTAAGATAGAGGAATTGACTAATGGGGTGGGGAGAGACAGAGATAGATTATGGATGGAGATGGATGGATGGAGGGATGGAGGGATGGGGAGATGGATAGAGGTAATTATGGAAGAAGATGGATGGATGGATGGATAGATAGATAGAAAGCAATAGAAAGAGATGGATAGAGGTACATTATGGATAGAGATGGATGGATGGATAGAGATGGATAGAGGTAGATTATGGATGAAGTTGGATGGATGGATACAGAGAAAGAGAGATGGATAGAGGTAGATTATGGATTTATGGATAAAGTTAGATTATGGATAAAGATGGATGGATGGATCAATGGATGGGTGGATGGATGGATACAGAGAAAGAGAGATTGATAGAGGTAGATTATGGATTGAGATGGATGGAGGGATGGATGGATGGAGAGATGGATAAAGGTAGATTATGGATGACGTTGGATGGATGGATACAGAGAAAGAGAGATGGATAGAGGTAGATTATGGATGAGGTTGGATGGAGGGATACAGAGAAATAGAGATGGATAGAGGTAGATTATGGATGGATGGATAAAGTTAGATTATGGATAAAGGTGGATGGATGGATGGATGGATGGATGGATGGATGGGTGGATGGGTGGATGGATACAGAGACAGAGAGATGGATAGAGGTATATTATGGATGGAGATGGATGGCGGGATGGATGGATGGAGAGATGGATAAAGGTAGATTATGGATGATGTTGGATGGATGGATATAGAGAAAGAGAGATGGATAGAGGTAGATTATGGATGAAGTTGGATGGATGGATACAGAGAAAGAGAGATGGATAGAGGTAGATTATGGATGGATGGATAAAGTTAGATTATGGGTAAAGATGGATGGATACAGAGAAAGAGATGGATAGAGGTAGATTATGGATGGATGGATAAAGTTAGATTATGGATAAAGATGGGTGAATGGATGGATGGATGGATGGATGGATGGATACAGAGAAAGAGAGATGGATAGAGGTAGATTATGGATGGAGATGGATGGCAGGATGGATGGATGGAGAGATGGATAAAGGTAGATTATGGATGATGTTGGATGGATGGATACAGAGAAAGAGAGATGGATAGAGGTAGATTATGGATGGATGGATAAAGGTAGATTATGGATGACGTTGGAAGGATGGATACAGAGAAAGAGAGATGGATTGAGATAGATTATGGATGGAGATGGATGGAGGGAGGGATGGAGGGATGGAGAGAGAGATGGATAGAGGTAGATTATGAATGAAGATGGATGGATGTTTGAATGGANGATACAGATAGAGATAGATAGATAGATAGATAGATAGATAGATAGATAGATAGATAGATAGATAGATAGATAGATAGATAGATAGATAGATAGATATTGCCATCTTTTCTCTGGTCCCTGCGGCTGCCAATTCATCCTATTTTCTCTCTTCTCCCTCTCTCTTTTGCACATTCCCCGTTGAAAGCTCTCTTGTTAAAAACCCTGGGTAGTCCCCGTTAGTCATTTTTCAGGGTTTAGCTCCTTTGCCAGCATCTCTCAAAGTGGGAGATCGGAGAGTGGGAAATCTCCAGAAGACCAGCAAAGCCATCTAGAGGCTACCCCCCCCACCCTAGCCAGATTCCCTATCATTTATTTTTTACACCCTTCTGCCTCCTAGGGGAAGCCCCTTCTATTTCATTTCCCTTCCGGAAGCAGGATCCTGCCCTCCGCTCCGTGGTCAAGCCACCATTCCTCTCCTGCGAGCGTTCAAGAGTCCCTTCTCTCCTGACGCTTGTAGTGCCGTGCGGGGAACGCATGAATATTTATTAACCCAACCAAATGTGTAAGGACATAAGTAGGCATTCATTATTCAACATGACAAGGGCAGCTAAATGTGTTTGTATTCAGGGACCTGAGTTGGAAAGCTGGGCAACTTTGGAGATACGTAGACGACTCGGGAAGGTTCGGGGATCAAAGGCTGATTTTGAAAAAAAGCAGCAGAGGTTGGGTGACTGAGTTTGCTTGTCGAAAAAGCAGCGAAGGCCAGCAGTAACGGAGGACAGAATCTTGCCAGATCAAGGCAAAAGAGAAGCAGAGCAGAAAAGCAATGCTTTCTGCTCTGCAAATATTATTCAGTACAGTGGGGGTATTCAGCCGGTTTGGAGCGGCTCAGGCGAACCAGCACTGGTGATCTGCACCCCGGCTCTATGCTATCCTATTTAGCTACATTTTCTAAGTCGTGTGCATGCATGCAAGCCCTGTCCTCCGAATTCCATCCGCCGGCCAGTGTCGACTGGCGACTACCCGGAGGAGGGCCTTCTCTGTGGCTGCTCNTCGCTATCTCTACACCCCACCCTTCCCTGGCGCGAAGCAGTTCAAAAGCACATAAAAATGCAAGTAGAAAAATAGGAACCACCTTTGATGAGAAGGTAACAGTGTTCCATGCGCCTTCGGCGTTGAACTTGGAACTGAAAGAATGATTTCCTTGGGGAAATCGAACACGTTCATCTGCCTGGGGCTGTTTTAAAACTTCAGGTAGTCGGTAATCGGTTTAGTCATGCCATCCACATAACCACAGAGACATCTTCAGACAGCGCTGGCTCATCGGCTTAGAAACGGAGATGAGCACCGCCCCCTAGAGTCAGGAACAACTAGCACATATGTGCAAGGGGAACTTTTAACTTTACAAGAAGAAAATGGCCACAGTTCGGACAACTTCAGACTTGACCTCAGCACTAAATTGGGGCTACATAAGAGTTAATGGAATTCAAGAGGGTTGGACTTAAGTCGCTTGTGGGAACACTATGATTCCAGACTGATTCCTCTCTTGACTCCACCCACAGTCTCTGCCTCTTCTTTTCCTACACGGCTAGAATTCCAGCCACGGATTCTGAAATCCTTGTGGCATTATCAAGAGTCAATCCGCCACAGTGTTCTACATCAATAATTACCTTGCATTTCCAAAAATGGTTCCCCATCACTCCTGCTCATCAGCGAGGGCTAAAAATGTGTCGAACATGTGTAATTGTCCCGTGGATGATTTTTCATATTACCGACTACCTGACTGCAAGTTTTAAAACAGCCCCAGGCAGACGAACGTGTTCGATTCCCCCAAGGAAATCATTCTTTCAGTTCCAAGTTCAACCTGCTTGTTTTCAGACCCCTAATGAGTTTCATCTTGCCTTTGAGCAAAAATGAATATTCAACGCCACCTTTGGATGCGATGAATTTCCCGCAGACGCTTGGTGGGGAGGGGGCGCTGAATGGAAATGCCAGGTCTTTGGGGGTCTCTGGTGAGGGAGCTGGAGAATTGTAGTTGTTGTTGTTAGTTGCGAAGCCGTGTCTGACCCATCACGACCCCATGGACAATGTCCTTCCAGGCCTTCCTGTTCTCTCCCATCCTCTGGAGTCCATTGAAGCTCACGCCAGCTGCTTCGGTGACTCCATCCAGCCACCTCCTTCTCTGCCATCCCCTTCTTCTTCTTTTGCCCTTCATCATGTAAAGTGGTTTCAACAAGGTTAAAATTGCCCACATTAAAAATCAAATTGCCCCCCCTGTGGGCCGTGGGCCCCCACGTTGGGAACCACTGTTAGAAGCAAGAAAAGCTGATAAATCCATTCATACCAAACTAATCCCACTGTACAAATGCATCTTTGCTGGTTCATTCACTTTTTCTAACTAAAATACTGATAGCATGCAGTTGTTTTGGTTCAATCTTAGACCGGAGAGAGAGAGGGGGGGAGGGAGGGAGGGAGGGAAGGAGAGAGAGAGATGATATAGATATAGATATAGATATAGATATAGATATATAGAGAAAGAGAGAGAGAGAGATAGGAGAGAGAGAGAGATGATATAGATAGAAATAGAGGTAGATAGAGATTAGATAGATAGATAGATAGATAGATAGATAGATAGATAGATAGATAGATAGATAGATA